CCAAAAGGTCACCATATATAAGAAAAATTAACAAACTCATATTTTATGTCATATTTTATGCTTTTAGTATTTTTATATTTATATATCAACACATGGAGAAATATTTTGTAAACTTTCCTACTGAATATTTTGTAAATAAAGGTACATTTAGTGACAATTTCCCATCTTTCCTATGTCTGTATGTCTGTATGGTGACCTTTGGGTTCATCCTGTATGTTTTGAATGTGTTACCATTTTGATATAAAATAAGCCAAGCTATAAGATTTTAAGAATCTGACATCTTTTTATTTTCTCAGTTGGAACTTTGCCTTAGAAATGCAAACAATGTAACCTAATCATTTGCATCCTCATATTAATCTGAAATTAAAAAAAAAATATATATATATATATAAAAGAGCTAAGCTTGAGTATGATGGTAAGAGTCCCTGTGTTTTGCAGACAGATAAACCACCTGTTATTCAATCTAACAAATTAACATGGCAGTCATTTTTAGAAAAGAGGTACACTCTCCCCCAAAACAAAAACCAACCTCAACGTAAAAGTCTCCAATCCTTTCCCAGAAAAAATAACTCGTCGCATATCATATTGTTCTATGGACGTCTGTCTAATCACTCTAATTTTCTATACAATTACTACCAACTTTTTCTACTTTTCTTATTTCATTTTTTCCACCTTCCATGAAAATAAGAAGTTTATTGAGAGAGAAACAAGCTACTCTGCACTTTCAAATGTTTTTGATGTGGCATCTGAATATTTTCAGGCACAGATCAATGACTTTTCCTTGCTGCAATAGGTAAATAATACCTAAGTCAAAAAGAGGCATTCTCATACAATGGAATATTATTCAGCCTTTAAAAGGGTGGAAGTTTTAATACGTGCTACGGGATGGCTGGGTCTCTAAGCAATTATGCCAAGTAAGAGCAACCATGGACAGAAGGACAAATGGTGTATGATTCCACTTCTGTGAGATGCCTAGATTCCACTTTCACAAGGATGCAAAGTGGAATAGAAGTTCCCAGGAGCTGGACAAGCAGGAGGGTAGGGAGTTATTGTTTAATGGGTCCAGAGTTTCTGTTGGAGGTGATAAAAAAGTTACAGTGTAGATGGTGGTTACATAACAATGTGAATATATTTAATGCCACTAAATTGTTCACTTACAAATGGCTAAAATGATAAGTATTATATATATTTTATCCCCCCCCCAAAATAAAACTAAAAAAAACAGAAGGTAACAAAGGGCAGGAAGCTTGAGCCTCTATTAATGGACCTAATAGCTGAATATATTTAATGCCACTAAATTGTTCACTTACAAATGGCTAAAATGATAAGTATTATATATATTTTATCCCCCCCCCCAAATAAAACTAAAAAAAACAGAAGGTAACAAAGGGCAGGAAGCTTGAGCCTCTATTAATGGACCTAATAGCTGACTATTTTCTGATTCAGCAACTTCAGAGAGTTCTTTTGTGAGTTCTTCTTTCATTCATTTGGTTGGTTCATTTGCTAAATAGTCATTTAAAAGTAATGATATTTCACGTCAGACTCTGAGGGATCAGAGGAATGAATGAGGGATGTTTCCAGGCTGCAGGACTTAGACAGGCAGCAACATTTATAAATGTTTTTTTAAAAAAGGCTGCAATAGAAATATAGTGAATAGTAGTGGGAACCCAGGAGAGAAATTCCTGAGAGCATCAGTGCCTTCACAGGAGATAATTGATCTGGGTTTGAAGTTTGAATTAGAATTAAGTTCCTTATTTTGTTATGTCAGTAATATGTAACACATTATCACTCACAATTTTTTGCCTTGGAATCTTGGATCTAAGCAAATCGGTCCCTGAAGGCAGAAAAACATCTGGGTTCATTCGCTTACTTTTTAAACATTTAGAAGTGAAACCACTTTGGGAAGTAATTCGATGTAAATGAGATATGTCCCTCAAAGAGCTTGTAATCTAACGGGCATGAGGCGAGGACAGCTGGTGGTAAGCACCTTCAGAAACAGTCTGTGTTTCTTCTTCTTGTCACTGGTCATGTCTCCAGTTCAGTTATTCCGACCCCAACCCATGGGGGTGCCCAGGTGGGAGGGGTGGCTCCTGCTGGGCCATGGAGAGATGCTGCATGAATGATGGGGGTCTCTGTGCTTTCCCACTTAGAGCTGTGTAGAACTGTAGTAACTAGATGTGAGGAAGCTCAGTGCACTTAAATAGAAAGACAAACCAAAGTGGAAAGGCCAACAACAACGACAACAAAAAATCAGTCTTATTGAGGGAATTAGTGAAAAAGCAAGTCAGCAAGACAGCAAGTCAGCAAGTCAGAAAGGCCCTTTGGGTCCAGGTCACAAGGATCCCCAAACTGTCTGTGCTCTGCCTGTTCTTAGAACCAAGAACCACGATTTGTTACTAGGTAGATTTAAGAGAGAAAGGTTTGAGGTCTTCAAGCCGTGCTTGTGGGCTGGGGTAGAATAAAGGAGGATAAAACAGTGATGCAAAGGGCCTGGAGGGAGCCCTGGGCTCCTGGGTAGGGTGGGAATAAAATGAACTGGAGGCATGCCCAGTGAAAGAAGGCTATGTTTGGAGTCAGTTAGCCTTGGGTTCAGATCCCATACGTAAAATTTACTGTGAAAAGTTGGCCCTGTTACTGAAGGCATTTGAGCCTCACTTTCCTTGTGTGACAAAGGGGACAAGTGGAGACAAAGATAATATTCTCAGGTCAGAGAGGATGGGGGGATTCCAGCTGCCTTCTTGGGTCGTCCCTCCTCCAGGGGATCTCTACGGTCCCATCTGAACCTGAGAGCCTAGGAAATAACTGAGGTTTTTCTTTTCCTCCAAAAATAATTTACATGATTGAGGTTTGAGTAGGTGTCCAAAATTTTACCAAGAGGTGGCTAACACATAAAGAACATTTTGTATATATTTTATTAAGTTTTGTAATGAATGTTTTGTAAATAAAGATACATTTAGCTACGATTTCCCCATTTTCCCTATGTATGGCAACTTCAGGGGAAACTTTTATAGATCTCCCAGCATAGAATAATTCTCGTAGTATAATTCCTAAAGTATTTTTAGCTAAATTAACCATTTTACTCTTCTGAGTTTTCATTTCGGGCTTAGATCCACATGCGTAGGCAATGATGCCTTCTTGTCAGACTAGTACATGGTCCCTCCACTTCCTCTTTCCCATCACAAACAGCTTTGTGTGAGCAAGAGCTGGGTTAGAGTTTCATCCTATGCTGTGTGTCTTTCTGCTAATGCGACTCCCAGTGATGCTTGGAAGTATTCATGTGTGTTTGAAAATATCCACCATCATTTCGGTTAGAAACAGCACAGCTGTGTGGCACCTTCCTGTGTGTCCCGAGGTTTTATGTCTTTATAACTAGACACTTTACTGAATTCTTTTCTTCTTGTTTTTCAGGTGAACCATACAGGTTTTCTGTTTTATTACAGCGTTATCCATAAATGACGTCCTCTCTTTTCCAACTGTAATATCCTGAATTTGTGTCTCGTGATGTACAGCTAGCTCTGGCGAGGTTGATGGTGACGTTCGGCACGGCCTCTAGCGTTCAGTGTCACACTGGCATTTAGCTTGGATGCCATGGCACTCTTGTTACCTGGATCGCACCAAATAGAAACTTTTTGGGAAATGTTTTTTTCTCACTCAAGTCTGAGCACATCAAGAACGCATCTTTTCTGATTCGTCACTACATTCACAGTGCCAGCACTGAGCCTGACAGAACACAGAAATCCATATTTAGAAGAGGTCCAAGGGTCTTCATTTACCACAGTCCGATAAAAAGAACCCAAGGACAATAATGTCCAATAAGAAAGTATGATTCTTTCCATAATTAGAAGAATATTCACTGTTTAGCTGTCTTCCTAAAAAATACTCCAATTAAAATTAAGAAAACTTGTCTTTTTTTGTGAGCTGTACTTAAGAGAACAGGAAGGAGATACAATTTTAAGTTATATCCCACTTGTGTTATTAAAACAAAGAGGGGAAGCCCAAATTCTACCTAAATTGCTGTTGGAATTTTGGATTTCTTAATTTCTCTATTTATTTGTTTTCCAATAAATGTAACAAGTCCATGAATTAATGCAATAATTGACTACTTTGCACCTTCCCATGAGGATGCATAACAAAGGGAAAATTTATGTTGGTTATATTTGGGTGCTATGTCTTAAAAATACTATTCCAGTGCTGAATAATCTCCTTTCTTGGTGATTTCCACTCAATAATTTTTATATTATACATTCCTACTTGAAATAATGTTTTTTCCCTCTTAATATTACTTGTATTTAATCATTTTAAAACAGTAGGATATGAAATGTAACCAAATAAGGAGAAAAAGATTTCTTAAGGAAATTAAAATATACCCCCCAAAAATTTGCAGAAACCCATATGGTAGAAGTCATATTTATTGAAAAAAATTAATATCTTTGCTATAAAATTTGTAACAGGAATATTTACTGAATGTTTATTTTGATGCATAAACCTGAATGTTACATACCGAGTACAAGACAGCAGCACTACCTTTCCCTTTATTTACACTTTATGAAAATTGTTATGCAGTCCATGTTAAAAGAACTCATGATGGAGAATTGTTACATTAGAAAAATAATATTCTTGATAAAGCATTCTCAGTGTGTCCAATCATATTTTCTGCCTCTTCAATAAGGCAAAAGTCCCTGGAACAGCATATAACTTAATTTACAAAATACAATAACTGTTCAGACACAGATTCAAGTTTTCTTTTGGTATGATTTTTCCTCACTGCAAAATTTTTTTTCTTTTTTTTACTAGAACAGAAAGACTTTCAGGAACATGTCATTTAATGATTCAGCTATACATTACATATACAACTCTGTAGCCTAGCAATGATCATTGCTACACCATCATTAACTTTAAATATTTTGCTTGGTGAGCTATTCTCAAATGTAGCATATTTTCAGATTTTGTCATCTGGTGACTGTGGAATCATTGTTTGGTTTTCATAGGAAACTGGTCTGTCACAGTATGAAGCTTTGTTTACTGTAAGAACTGGTACACAATTACGTTTCCACTCACAAGAGAACACCACAGATACAACGAAAGTCGGGCTTTGATGGATCCATGAAGGTCTCACGCCGGACCAACCCCGAACCTCCTGCTTGCACACGGCACAGCCCTGGCCACGTTCGGATGGTCGCACTTCCAGAGATGCTTTCTTTGCTCTTCGAAGTTAGGTAGTTTTTATTCCCTCAAAGGCACACAACTTCCATCTTTTTTCCAGTGTTGCTCCCACGCCCGTGAACTCCTGTTTGAACATGCGCGGCAGCCTCATCAAAAGCATTTCAATTTCATTTGCAGATATCTGTTAGAAAGGAAGAACAGTCACTTTGGGGAAAGAAACTCACTTTTAAGGAGGTGACTGGGTTGGGGAAGAATGTCCTTTCCCAGTGAAATAAACAACAATTAGTCTTCTAATTGGCTGTTAGGTGATGTCCTTACAGAAGGAACCTGCGCAAAGCACTGAATGCTATTTTCCCTTTTCCTGAGCAGCTGGTGGGGTGGGGCATGAGACGAGGGGGCAGAAAAATCCAAGTTCATCCTCTATATGGGGGGCTACCTTAAAGCCTGAACAGGCCTCCCCTGATCTAAAAGCAGATGGAGAGGAAATTTAAGAGGCTATGTCAACCAGTCTGATGTAAGAATTTCAAATTGTATATAAAACCAGTACACTGTACCCCATAAACGCAGTAATGTATATAGCTATGATTTAATACAAAAAAAAAAAAAAGAAGGTCTCCGTGTAAACTCATCACCACTCCTGGAAAGCCACTGGTACGTTGATTCTCATGTATCAAGGGCAGCAGTTTCCCCTCAGTCAGTGGAGCAAAGGGCATTCATGTGGCTATTTTGCACTCAGACCTCTTTCTCATCCTTTAACCTTCACAGGGACCAGCAACCACGAAGGTTTAGGAATGGAAACAAAATCCCCAAACCTACTGCAATAAAAGTCTTGACGTCCCATCATAAAACCCAGGTATATTTTTTAATACAACCTTTTTATTCTCCTAACTTTTCTGTTACATGAATTTTTACACCAATAATTTATTTTATCTTATTTTATTCTATTTTATTTTTGGCTGGGGGCTGGGTTTGAACCCATCACCTCAGGTATATGGAGCCAGCGTCCTACCCCTTTGAGACACAGGCACTGCCCTTATCTTATTTTAAATAGACAACAGATCAGCCACAATCCCTCTGCTCGGTTTCCTGTGTTTGTGCTCTAACCCATGTACATGCAGGCGGCTTTTATATAGCAAGCTGGCCAATGTGGGGTCTGATATTCTGGTTAAGCATCTCTGGAATTTGAGGTCTGCTTGAATCCTGTATCTACTATTGTTACAGGCTAAATGACCCTTACAAAGATAGTCTCTCTAAGCTTTAGCAAATGAGAATAACATTTAATATGAATGGTATAAAAACTACTGGCTTAGCACAGCTTTGGGCACATAGAAATGTTCAATGAATCATAGTGCTTAGAATTTTTCATGGTATAATCACTGTAGGAATAGCATTTTAGAGTCTTCATTTTCCATTTAACAATATTAAGATTCATTTAAAGGAGACACCAAATATACGAGGAAGACAAATCAACCGTTCATTTATTCTTCACGTAGAAACTATTTCACATGATCTATTCAATATTACTGGGACAGTATTACAAAACTTTCGTTAAGTAGAGGCAGTCTTGGAAGTTGAAATAAATTATATTCTAAAATTTTTGTGTGAATATTTTGAAATCTGAATGTATTTCTCCACAAAACCATGTTAGAAGGATTATTCAATTCCCAGGTCAATGAAAAAGCTGTTAAACACATTATTAGGAGGTTCTCAGTGGTTGTGAGAAGTACATTCCTGAGCCCCGCGCACAGCACTTTACCACCACACACCTCACAGCACTGTTCTCACCACACTCCTGAGAGATGTGCGAGGCAGACGTACCTCCCACTTCCAGCTGAGGAGACTGAACTACAGAGGGTCAGGTATTTCACCAAAGACAGGATTTGGAAAGCACCCACCAGACACGGGTAGGGCCTGGATGCCAATATGAAGCAGTTCCCATGGTTGTCAGCAGCGGGGCTGGGTGACCAGGGCCCTAGCGAGGTCTTTCTAAACACCAGTCACCCAGGGCACTGGTAACACAGTCTCTGGACACTGCCGTTCAGCAGGTTTGGAGGGCCGCCCAGACACTCTCTCCTCAATGACCACTCTAGGTCATTCTTAGGATTAGGCATATTTGGGCTAAGAATGGAAATGTAAATCAGACAGACTTGGATTTACTCTGGGCTGGGCCCCAGGCTGCTGTGTGACCTGTGACCCAATATTTCTGATTCTCAGTTTCTTCAAGTGGGTGATAGAGACAAAACCAATCTCAGTGGAATTGTAGAATTATATGTAAAATGCAACATGGTGCCCGGCACATATAATCTCTCTCTCCATGTATATACAAAACATATGTCTATGGAAATACTGATAGAAAGTGAGTGGGGCGGGCTCGCTGCTCATAAGGAGACAAGTAGGGAGAGGTCCATCAAACCCTGTTTTTAGTTGGTCCGTGAGGCAGTTTTCTTTAAGCTTTATGAGGCCACTATCTTCTTAACAAGCACCCTTTTTTCTTTTGAAAAGGAAAGCACAGTTAATCTACAGTGTGCTTTGGCCTCCAGACCAGTTCACTCGCCCTCCCTGGGCTGTGCTGTGGTCCTCCTACCCAGCTGAGGTCCCAGCCAGTGCACCAGTGCCTTGTTTGCAGAGTCACTGTCACCTCCAGTGGAACTGTAAGGAGGAAGACTTCTGCTATTAGAAAGGAAGGAGAGAAAAAGCTCACTCTGAGGGTAAAATAAATATCTGATCTAAAGATAACACTGATGTGGGAGGCCAGCTGGGTGCAGGACAGCAGTGCTGCTGCAGATTGTAAAAATGTAACAACTCACTGTCACCAAGAAACTTCTTTACAGAATTTTCCGAAAACACTATTTAATCGTCACCATACTTTCCTACACAGGGCATAATTTACCAATGAGAAAACTGAGGTCCAGAGAGATAAGGTACCCCGTGAAGGTAACACAGGCAGTGAGCATGGAGCCGGGCTCAGCTGGGTACCTTGTTCTCACCACCTATGCCACCTCCCCAGAGGCAGGGGCTGGAGACTGAGCACCAGAAATAACCCCCCAGGTGGCTGCCTCTCTGCTCACATCTGGATGCCATGGAGCAGGGGTCTCAAGTGAAGGATACAGTGAGAGTGACAGCGACAGCAACAAACGGACTGTTCCCAACTCTGCTGGCTCTGACACAGTCCTACGCTGGTGCTTGGGCACCCCTGCCCCACACCACGGGGCATCGAGGCTGGCATGTACTAGATGCAGCAACATCTTGTTTTGCACTGTGTCTTTTGGCCTGAGCCTTGTCTTCAGCCACTAAGGAGCAGGAGAAGGGCTAGGGAGGGAGAGAGGCAGCTATCACTTAGAGTCCTGCTGTGGGGCAGGAGAGCGTGAATGCTTGGACTATCTCATCAGAAAGCTCAATAAACACCCCAACATACCCCTGGTTGCTGAGGGAAAGAAATGTAGACGCAAAAAATTTGTATCCTAGTCATGAACAACCCTTAACCGATTCCCAGTTGAATAACCTGTTAAGTAACCAGTCACTTCACTTCTTTGGGTTTTCTGTTTTCTCATTTGCAAGACAAGGGAATTGAAAGAAACTCTCCAAACCTCTGAGGACTCGGTTTGAGTGCTGGCTCCTCCCTGCATTAGCAGCAGACTAGTCTCAGGCGAGCCATTCAGGATGAATCTGTGCACCAGGTTGTGGCAAAGATCTCAAAATGAGAGAATGTGAAGGGTCCTTCGTGTGCTTTAAAGCACAAAGCAAATGGCAAACAACACTTAAGCAGCACTCAGGTGTGCCAGATACTATTCTGAAAACTTTTCATATATTAAGTCATTTAATACACTCGATAACTCATAAAAACCCTTTTTATAGATGGTGAAACTTAGGCACAGAGATGTTAGATAAGTTGCCCAAGGGCACACAGCTAAGAAGAGGTGAAACTGGGATTTGAGATCTTCCTGATCATGTCACATAGATTGTCTATTAGCCATATTTCAGGTTTTGATAAAGCCAGAGGTTAGTACCCTAGGAATTGATCTCCTGAAATGTAGTTAGCGCTGTTTCTGCTGGAGGTGAAGGGAATAGCCTGACTCTGCCATAATGATATAAATATGTGGACTGAGACTTGTTATGACTACGGAACAGACACCTTCAAACAAAACTCTGCCTAAAATATCTACTTAATAAGGTTCTCGGCTCGGCGCCTATAGCTCAAC